ATCTGCTGCCAATCCTCCTCTTTTTGCTGGGGAAGACCGGCCCTGAGCTCACATCCGTGCCCATCTTCCTCTACTTTATATGTGGGATGCCTACCACAGCATGGCTTGCCAAGCGGTGCCATGTCCACACCCGGGATCTGAACCTGTGAACCCCGGGCTGCCGAGAAGCAGAACATGTGAACTTAACCACTGTGCTACCAGACCGGCCCCCCTGCAGAGGATGTTAAACCCCAAAGCCATGGGGAAGTCACCTTCCTCCAGGGGCCGTCGGCCTGACACTGGGCTCCGTTGGGGGGATTCTCGAACACGCAGGAAGGGCAGCCCCTCAGCACACACAGCCAGCATCATTAGCACGTTTCCAGGATGCTGCGGAGAGAAATATGCAGGAACCATGTGCCCCACGAGGACAGGCCAGAAAAGCCGGCCTCTGTATAGAGGGGGCTGGCAGGACACCTTCCGGGGACAAGCTCCAGGCCCGGGTGCAGGAACCAGAAACGGTGTCTCCTCCGGGCGGATGTATGTTCCCTTCTATTACTGGCCGGCGAATAAATAACCGGAAAGCTGTTTACCCTGTGAGGGAATGAACCTCTGTTTCATTTGAGGAGTTATAAAAAACCTCCCCAGACGCAAGCCCGGGCCGGGGGAAGCGTTTCTCCCGGTCGCCGTCACGGAGTGAGCTGGACAGACGGCGTGGACGCTGGTGGAAACCGGAGGATTCCCAGGAGACGGCGCAGGGGCCGTGGCACCCCCTGGACAGTCACCTCCTGCAGGAGGCCAGCCCTGCCCATGCCGCCCGCCGCCGGGGTCCTCACACCGCAGCCCATGGTCTCCACAAGCCCACTCACCGTCTTAACACAGCACGCTCCTGATCGTACAGACTCAATGTACCGCCTCCTTTATAAATAACAATCCTGCGTGGCCGTGCTGCTATATAATGAATGGTATCAAACATCACAAAAGATAAAGTAAAAATTAGATTCAATCAGATAAAAAGAAAATAACATTTTAAATGTCTTAATGATTGTGAACGGTGTTATGCCATCATTAGCTGAGATCTCGAAGCGAGCATCTGGACTCGTGGTTAGGCTCATTAGTGATAATAGAGGATAGATACTTTCATTGCAAATTGTCTTTTCGCTCATCTTTGAAATCTGGGGACCACTTTCTTGTTAGACCCAACTGCATCATTTCCTTCTTTGCTTTCCCTGCGGCTGTCGGGAGCAGACACCAGTGGGAGCGAAGGGTCTTACTCTGGATTCGAGCGTTTGCATCTTGTTGAATGTTTCTTTCTTTTCTTTTTTTCCAGCTTTCTTTTTCCTTTTTTTTCTTTTTGCTGAGGAAGATTGTCCCTGAGCTAACATCTGTGCCAATCTTCCACTATTTTGTATTGCGTGGGTTGCCACCACAGCACGGCTACCAACAAGCAGTGTAGGTCCACATCTGGGGACCAGACCCGGGCTGTCGAAGCAGAGCGCGGAACCTAACCACTAGACCACAGGGCCGGGTCCTCCTGCTCTCCTTGTAAGTCCCTTGTCCATTTGGTGAAAAGTCAGTGAAGGGTATTATAATCTATAAATCTGCCAAACTGGTCTCACACAAAGAGAAAACTTCAAAATGAGGAAAGCAAGGAAAAAGGCTGCCAGCCTCTCTGTGCCGTTCCACCCCACCCTCCCCGGAGGGACGTCTGACATAAAGACCAAATATGGACATCAGGGTCGATCTATAAATACTGGTGAAACTTTATTCCCTTCCTTTTTTTTCCTGGAGAAAATGGAAATAGAAATAACCATTTTTAACATTCCTTTCCCCTTAAAGAACTACCTGGTGCCCCCCATGGGGTCCTTGCCCCCCCCCCCAGACCTCTGTGTCAGGCTGTTCACTGCCCCCTCACCTCCTAACATCCTGCTGCAAACAGGAGCCAGCAGGAGCTCAGGAAAAGGCTGAAAAGGCAGATTTGATCCAACGCCTGACCTCCCTTGCTTCCCGGGGGTCTGGGGGGGGGGGGGTGGGAGCAAAACTTGTGACCCCATCTGGCTGCTTCTCCCGCCTCATCTGTGCCCCTGCTGTCCCCCACCCCGTCCTGCTCCGCAGCAGCCATGAGGGCCTCCTGGGCGTCATGCAGCCCCGCCCGACATGCTCCCTCTCCTCCAGGTCGCAGTTCCCGTGTCAGGGTCAGCCCTGCATCTAAAGACGGCTTTCCCCCGCCCCGTTCCGCTCTTGCTCCGTGCTCCCTTCACAACCGTTATAGCGTCCGTCGGTTCTTGTCACTGTGTCAACTGTGTGCGGACTCCGTTTCCTGCCCCCTCCTCCAGATGACAAGCGTGGGGTCCCCCGGGAGGCCCCACGTCTGCTTTCTCGCTGCTGTCTGCCCAGAGCCCAGCGCGGCCCCTGGCCAGGTGGGTGCTCAGGAAATGAATGAAGAACCAAGTGGACGGACCTGAGAGGATCCACAGCCTTTTCTCGGACTGCACTTGTCTCCTGGCCACCGCTAGAAGCTGCTGGACCTGGGAACGGGCTCCCTCCCGCTCTCCGCTCTCAGACCTCTGCAGGCTCCCTACCCCGGAGGCCCGATGTGCCCGTCCGGGCGAGCCGGGAGGGGTCTTCCAGGGGCCCAAGAGGCTATGCAGAGCAAGGTGTCCACTCCCCTCGTTTGAGGTCTGAGAATGTGGAATGTCAGAGAGGGCTAGGGTCCTACCTAAAGACACACAGCGAGGTCAGGACACACTGCCAGCAGAGATCAATTGGGGTGCACTTGGCTGAGTGACTGAGGCACCCTGGGAGGTGTTGGGGCAGGGGTGCATCACTGGGGCTGGACCTCTATGAGGGGCAGGGCTGAGGCCTGACTTCACCCTCTTTGGGTGCCGGGGTCGGTGCTAGCATGACCTGCTGGGGACCCTCCTGGGAAGTCCCCACAGTGCCATCAGGGAGCCACAGGTGAGGCTGAGACACTGGTCCAGGCTCCCACGGGTAGTAAATGGTGGCGTCGGGGTCACACCCCGACGTCTCTCCTGCTCCAGGAGATGCTCTTCCTCCCTCCTCCTCCCCCACCCCGCTGCCCTCAGGCCCCTTCAGTTCAGGCCCAGCAGCAGCTGTCGACCTTGATCCCCTGTCATTGGCCAGCACACGGGGACGGCCTCACCTGGGTGTCGGCAGGTGTGGCTGTTCCCCGCTGGCACCAAGCCCGGCTTCCGCTCAGAGCCTGCCTCTGAAAAGAACGGAAACCTGACCCTGTGGGAAACCCTGGAGAGAAAGCAGGCACGAATATCTCCTTTCAAGGGAGGGACCCAAAGGGACCCTTGTTTACCAGATTCCTTGGCAGCCTCTGTGAAGGGAAGCCCCTTTTAAGATATTTTTAAGGGAAACTGAGGCACAGGCCAACAGCTGGGGAGGGAGGTGGCGGCGACCGTTTCCTGACATCCCTCCCTCTTTGGGTCTTGTTATTCTTTACGACAAAGGGACTGGCCTTGACCACCAGACCCGACAGTGTGTGGCCCCACTTGCCATGTGAGGCTCCGAGGATGGGCTGGAAGGTTTCCAGAAGGTGGGGGCTTGATTCAGGTCTTGAAGGACGTGCAGGAGGAAGAGCAGGGGCCAGGACACAGGTGGGTGGCCAGGGCCAGGCCCGAGGAGGCAGCCTGGGGCCAGACTGCAGGGGGCGGGGAACAGGGACACCTGGGTCCGGCCCCAGCTCTGCCACTGACTTCCTGGCCGATGGCGAGTGAGGTCTCTGCCCCCTCTCAGGCCTCAGTTCCCCCATCGGCAAAACTAGTGGGAGAGGTTTGACCGGGTGGCCTCTGGGCGTCCCGGGCCTGACGTGGCTCTCACAGCCCCTTCCATCCGGCTCTGGCTGAGGCTGCGGGGTCATCCCACTTCTGCGGCCTCGCCCGGCAGTTTGCAGTTGGGCCAGTTAATCCCCACTAAACCGGCTTCTTCCTGGCGACTGTCACCATGTGACCCGTGGGGCCCCCTCTCCCAGGAAGAGAGTACCTTGGGCCTTGGCAGCGGGAAGGAAGCAGGCCCGGCTTCCATCTGCCCCCTCACCCACCAGCGGCCCCCAAGCCATCTGTTCTTCAGCCTGGGTCCTCACAGAGAGGCCATTCAGGCTCCTGCCTGTGTTTACCTCCCTTTCCCGGCCCGGGTCTGAGCAGATGGCCCACCCGCCAGCCCTGCACGGGGGCTGGGGAGCCCTGGGGCCCCGCTGGAAGCCGGGGTGGGAGGGCCTGTTGGTCTCTTACAGAAGTGGCCAGGCCTGACTCCGGGGCCTGGGCCCCACCTCAGGGGCCTCTGTTGCCAGCCCTGGTCTCCTCCCCACCTCCCCCTGCAGGTCAGCCCCACCCTGACCATTCAGAGAGACACTGTGAGGTCCAGGCCCTCAGCACCCCCACCAGGCCAGTCCCCTGGGTCCACACAGAAGGCACCAGTCGCCCGCCTGAGGCCACACAGCTTCTCCGAGGAAAAGCCAGGCTGAAACCTGAATTGCTGGCTCCTGGCCAGTGCTCCCCGCCTCCCGGCTGTGGTCCTCGGGGGGCAGGAGCATCAGGATGGCTGTGGGGGGTGTTAGATTCTGACCCAGGAGGGCTGGGCGGGCCCGTGAATCTGCATTCTCGGTAAACTTCCCAGGCGGTTCTCAGAAAGGCTCGCAGGCCCTGCCATGTGACGTGGGCAGGACAGGAGTGACCGTCCCCATTCACAGGTGAAGAAGGTGAGGCCCCATGGGACACACAATTCCACAAAGTAAATTTCACACGCCGAGGTCTGCCCAGAGCCAGCCCGGCCTCAACACTCCTGGCTCCTCAGTTACGGGGTGCCGCCTCCCCAGGGGACAGCCACCCCTCCCTCCCCCAGTTATGACACTTAAAGTCTCCAGGTCCTGAAAAGACAATGGTGCCTCCCTTTCTCCCCCGTGCAATCTGAAATAAAACAACACTGCACGCTAAAGTGACTGCAAGGAAATCCCGTGATGACAATAGTCCTTGGATGCATTTTTTTTTAATATTAAATTCTTTAAAAACGCCTCCCTCACTCGGCTGGTGGCCCCACTTCCGTGGTGCCCAGAGCCGTTGCCCCACTTCCTGAGAGAGAGCTCGCTGTCCCAGTGCCCCGTCCAGCGTGGGGTCTGGGTGAGGGGTCTGCTGGTCACTGCTTGACCCCCCCACTTGTACCCAATGTTCTCCCCCAGAAGGTGGAATGCGCCCCCAGGGGAGCCGGGCCTCTGGGACAGGCCTGGCTGGGCAGACTCTTTCACGGGGCTTTTAAATGCAGCCTCTTGTCTCCTTGACATTCCTTCCTTCCTGTGGGGGTCTCGAGGGAGAGCCCCCGCTCCCTCCTCACCCCTCTGGGGAAGGGACTCCTTCCTGACCCTCGTCAGAGAGGGGAGAGAGGGCAGCCCCCCCGGGGACGCAGCCCAGAAGCTGCTCCCTCTCTTCTTGGGACCACTGGTATCAGATGGCGCTCGTGACAGGAGAAGCCTGGAGGGACTGAAGGGGCTGAGAAAGCAGTGCTGTGTGTCCTTGAATAAGTCATTTAACCTCTCTGAACCTCACTAAGGTAGCACAGGACCTATATTCTAATTCTGCCTTACAAAGATGAGAGGAAATAGCGCATGCACGTGCGCACGCACGCATACACACACACGCGCGTGCACACACACACAGCGTTTAGCACAGAGCCTGGCTCACAGTGAGCATTCAACACACAGTCCCTATTGTCACTATGAGCTACTCTGACAGAAGAAGGACCCCTGGAATGGGTGTCAGGTCACCTGCATTCTAATTTGGATGCTGCCACTAAGAGGTGGGTGGCTTCGAGCAATTCCACAGCCTGCTTGGGCCTCAGTTTCCCCATCTGTAAAACAAGAGTGTCCAGACCAGATGACCTCTCTAGTCCCTTCCAGGGCTGACCTTCCATCACTCCAGCACTTTCCATAGCTCCCATTCGTCCGTCCCAGCTCAGTTAAACGTCACCATTTCTAGGAAGCCTTTCCCAAGACCCTAGAAGCTGGGCACCCTGGGGAAATGAATCCCTCCCCCGGCCCCGTGCCGGGAGAAGGCGTCCCGGGACGAGCCCTACAGCGGCTGCGAGTGCCGCCCCCGCCTCTGAGGGGCAGCCCCAGGGAGAATCGTGAGATGAGGGGACACTGTGTCGGGTCCTCTGGGCTGATGCGCTCCCCCCGTTTTACAGATGGAGACACTGAGGCCCCAGGCCTTAAACAACGCACGCGGCACAGCCCCGGGAGCCTGGGGTCCCAGCACCCCGCCGCTGCCCGGGTGACTCAGGGCTTCACTGTCACCCCGCAGCCGTCACTCTCCAGTTGGTGATTTTCCTCGGTTGACGCCGCTGTGTGGGCCTTTCTCTTCTTTCCTTGTCAGTCTGTACTCACCAGGCTGGGGGAGGGGCCGAGTGTGGAGCAGAACAGAAGGAAAAGAAAGAAAAAGAGGGGGTGGGAGCCGGACAGAGGGGAGAGGCCGCCCCAGGCCGCTCTGACCCCTGTGGGAGGGACAGGAGGCGTGGGGGAGGAGGCGACAGCGGAGGTGGGCGGGTGCGTCAGAGGTTAACTGCCCCTGGGGTGGCATCAGGCCTCTGGGACTCCAGGGATGAACGCCTGGGGCCAGGGGAGCTGCGTATGTGTCGGAGCCGGGCTCTCAGAGGCTCCCCGCACCCCCGACTCTGCCCACTTTTCAGACACCTGTGAGGGGCCAGCATTGTGCGGCCCAACCACACAGCGGGGAACAGGCACAGTCCTGCTGGAAGTGGCTCTGAGCCAGCCCAGGGCGCTCAGCACCCCGCTGTCCAAGCCACTCCGGGGCCCTCAGGGAGCTGCCGGGTCAGCTTGGGGGTCTGCGGGGGCCCCACCTCGGGCTGGCGCATGGGGCGCAGGTGAGGGGCCAGGAAGGATCTCCAGAGGAAAAGGGCTGAGAGAAGCACGCGCAAGAGCCGGCAGATGAAGACCGGGGCATGACGGGGAAGAAGGTCCCAGCAGCGGGAACAGCGCAGAGGACAGGTCCAGACGCAGCGCAGAGTGATGCACAAGAGGGCCACCGGGAGTAGCGTCTGCTCAGATGTCTGTCTCCACCACCACATTACAAGCTTCCCTGATGCAAAAATGGGATTCCACTCCTCACTAACTTTACGTGTGCATATATGAATGTATGCGTGCATTCATTCCTTCATCCCTTTTAGCTGGAACAATACAAAGTGCATTAAAAATCTTGTGGGAAGAAGTGGCAGATCTATGACGGCCTTTCCCCTTGGGATCCCATGTACTGTTGCACAGGTTGTGCACTACAATTCTCCCTCTGCAATAAGAGTAACACCCACAGGCCTGCTGTATGCTGTCATTTATTTGTAGTAATTCTCTCTCTCTCTCGGCTTATGCCGTGTGAATAGAGTCAGGTGCTGAGAACACAGCAGGGAGTGAGAGAGGCGAAGTCTTTATCCTCTTCCCTCAAGGAGAGTATATTCTTGAGGAGGCAGATAAAAGAAACAGGAAAGTTCGAAAACGTAAAGGTAATCTTAGATGTTGATGCTGTCAGGGCAGGGAGACAGGGTGAGGCAATGAGTGTGACCTGGTGTCTGGAAGTCCTCTCTGCCGAGAGGACCCTTTAGCTGACACCAGTGGTGAGAGGAGAGGCAGCATGTGAAGGCCTGCAGGGAAGAGCATTCCAGGGAGAGGGAACAGTGTGTGCAAAGGGCCAGGGGTGGAAACAAGTTCAGTGGATATGAGAAATAGGAAGGTGGCCTTGGTGCAGCTGGAGTGCAGGGAGAGTGGGAGGGCCGGGGCACGCAGGGCCAGGCTGCCCGCACGGACGACCCTGGATTCTATGCTGAGCAAGAGGGACAGCGTTCTTCACAAGCCGTGATCAACTTCCTCCAGGCTCTCTTGGAACGCTAAGTGGAGAGTGACTCAGAGGAGGCTAGGCTGAGAGCGGGAGGAGAGATGCAGTCCCAGTGAGATGACAGTGGCCTGGCTTAGGGTGGGGGTGGCACGCAGGGGGATGGAGGTGCTGGGCTGAAGAGGCCCAGAGGACACGATGGAGTTGGGGACTCTGCTCCCAATAGTAATAATAATAATGACAATGATATTATTCACGAGTACAAAGCGCTTTTGCAGCCCCTTTTCCACCAGGCGGGAGGCACAGGGCACCAGCTGCGTCAGCTGAGGCTCAGAGAGGTGAAGAGTCGTATGAGGTTACCACCTGGAGGAGAACCACAGGAGCTCTCTTGCTGCCTCAGTATCCCCCCTGACACCGCTTCTCTCTGTAGGCCCGGCTGCAGTCAGACAGCCTTGCCCCCTAGCCTGCGGGCAGCCGGGCACAGTGGGCTTCTGTTTATGACCTTGGGCAGAAAACATGGTTTAGCAACTGGAGAAACATCGAGAAGCTGCAGCCCGACACGCTTAGACTGGCAAACGCTCGCTGGGCCCGTCTTTGAACATGAGGATATGGAACCCTCGTTTATTTATACTCAGAACCCAGACGCTGCCTCCTGCCAGCCCTCCTGGGACCCCTCCTTCAGCCCCGTCCCACAGAGGGGCTCCCGGCATGGCCTGGGGGGGGGAGGGGGGGGAGGGGAGACTGAAGGGCAAAAGGGGAGGGGTGTAAACATCACTGAGCGCCTTCTGTATGCTGGTCCTTAGCTATTTCTCATCTAATCATCGATCCTGTGAAAGGGAGATCAGACACACAGGGGGCAGGACCAGGGTTCAAATCCGGTTCTGTCCTTTGTCAGCAGACTGGGGAGAGTTCCTTGTCTATAGCATGGAGATGACGACAGGAGTTGCCTCCTCAGGGCTGGTGTGGGGTCCAAGACACCGTCCAGCGCATAGTAAGTGCTCAGTAAACAGGAACTGGCCTCGGGACTCTGCGGTTGCTATTACCCCATTTCCTAATGGGGAAACAGAGGCCCAGAGAGGCTACAAATTTGCCCAAGGCCACACAGCTAGGAGTCGCAGAGCCACCGGCAGGTCTGTGGAGCCCTGAAGCCAGGGTCTGGAGACCGTCCCCAAGCATGAAATCCATTGGAGGGTTACGCCCTTCCCCTCAAGTCTAGCAGGTGCTGGACAGGCCTACTGTGTGCCAGGCTGGGCGGGCGGCTGTGAAGATGGGCAGACACGGAACCGGCGCCCCACAGCGCGTGGCCTCATGGGGCAGACAGACGACAACAGCTCCCTTAGTGACGCAGGGTATGAGGTACCGTCACCAGTGAGCCCAGGGCTGGAGGGGGACAGCCGTGAAGGCTCCTGGGTAAGTGCGCTGGGGGGCAGGGCACTGGGACGGACTTCCCAGGGGTGACAGCACATGGCGGACTCGAGGAGGGCATTCCCCGCAGAGGGCTGCAGCACCAGGATTTGGGGGCGGGCGGGGGGTGTTCTTGGGGTCTGGCCCTGGCTGGCAGGATAGGGGCAGGGCCTGGTGTGCTGGCCCCCACTGACCCAAACAGCCAGGCCTGTCCTTGCACCATCTGCTCGGTGGACACCAGCGTCCCAAACCCCTTCCCCAGGCCCCTAATGCGGAGACGTACACGGTCCTTTCCACCCCATCAACAGCATCCTGGCTGGGGAAACTGAGGCAACAACTGATCCACCATGGTTATAAAGACCCCTTGTGGGGTACAAAGGAAAAAGCACGAGCTTTAGAGCTGACCAACTCAAGGACTGGAATCCTCGGGGCATGAAGCCAGGCCTTCTGGGGCTGGGTCCCAGTCTGTAACATGGGCCACCACACAGAGGTTGCCATCCGTTTGATATGCAAGCCACACGACTGACACCCAGAAGTTGCCCAATGCGTTGGTCTTTTCTCTCTCTCCCCCAACTCTCAGCGAGGGCGGGTTGGGGCGGGGGGGCAGCAGTGCCCGGAGGAGGGAAAGCCCTGGCTCAGTCTTCTCCGGGGGTCCCCAGGGACTGGGGATCTCGCCCTGGGGGCCCCTTTGCCGGGAGCGGAGGGCTGCACCCAGCCAGGCAGGGGTTAACCCGCCTCCGGGCGTGGGAGCCCAGAGCGGTGAAGCGGTGAGGGTTCCCGAGGGGGCTCCCTCTACCCGTGGCTGGCGCCCAGCCCCCCCTGCCCTGGCCCCAGCCTGCCTCATCCTTGGAGCAATTACATAATGACGCCCCCAGGGCGCCGCCGCGGCCGCCTTTGTCACCACGATCTGGCTCATTGCCTGGCAGCGGCCTCCAGTATTAATAAACCCATCACTCAAACCGCCAGGCCCGGCTTCATGGATGTACATTTGGGTTGGGGCCCCCGGAGGGAATAGACACGGCCTGCCCCCAACCCTCTCCTGGGCCCCTCGGCTCAGAGCCCCTCCCCTCCCCACCTTGGTTGGCAGTCTGGTCTCCAGAACGGAAACCAAAATATCCCAGAACCAAGACCTGTGGGCTCCAGGCCCATCTCTTCTACTTCCCTGATGGTCGACTTCTGGCAAAGGGGGACTCGTCTGCCTTGCCTGTAAAATGGGTCGAATAACACCAAAGTGTCAGTTTAGATGAGAGAGACTAGTGTTAAAAACAAGACAGGCCCAAATTGGAGTCACTTATGCTAAGCCCCTCCCCCACCAAACCAAGACGTAATGACAGTTTTGGTTCTCGTGGAAAAGGAGCCCCAAACCAGTCCACCAGGAATGACCCGATGCGCAGGAGGGAGGTCATCGGTCTCACCGACCCCTGGATTCGACCTTGCCACGACCAACTGTTGGCTTTTTGCTGGCATAGCTTCCATGTTCCACTCCCGTCTGCCTCTAAAGGTCTTCCCTTTTGTCCAGCTCCTCGCAGCTCCTTTTCACCTGCCACGTGGAGAGGGCAGCTCGCCTGAAGCACGAGCTGTTGAATAAAACCGATGAGATCTTCAGCGCTTGCTCAGTCGAATATTGTTTTTCACACTGGGACAGCCGTGCGAACTCTCAAGTCGGGTTCTCACATGTCAGTTTGCAGGGGGATCACCTGGGTAGGATGCAGACTGCGGCCCCGGGGCCTGACTCCCTTAGAGTTTCTGACTCTGTTGCCTGAGGGGGATGGACAATTTGCATTTCTAGCATTTTCCCTGTGACTGTGCTTTGAGAACCACTGCTCCAAACAGAAAGTGATTTGTAAATGAGGCTCTTTGGCACAGGAGATGCTCAGCCCCAAACATGGATGACCGTGTGCATGGCTGGGACAAGGAGCCGCACAGCCTCACGGGAGGATTGGCCATCCCTGCCCCGGCCACCAGCACAGCTGGAGCCGGCTGGGGCTCTGGGCCAGCCTGCCTGGGGTTCCAAGCCTGACCTCGTTGCTTTCTCGGGTGTGGCCTTGGGCATTACGTGACTCATCGGGCCTCAGTTTCGTCATCTATAAAATGGGGTGAATAATGGTACCGACCTTATGAGATGTGTTAAGATTAAATCCATGTAAAGTGCCTAGACCGGGGCCTGGCACAGAGAAGGGCTCAGAATGCCAGCTACTGAGAGGATGCTAAAGCTTTCTGGGATGTGGTACCCAAATGGCCTAGCATCCCCTTGGGCAGGAGGCAGGTGAGGTGCTGGCCACCCAGGGGCCCAGGCCCAGACCTCACAGCCCCGAGTGGCTGCTGTAGGCTCTCAGTGTGAAGGGGTCCTGGGGGTTGCCCAAGCCGAGGGGAGGGTCCACCATCTGCTCCCCTCCACCCCCCACAGCAATTCTCTTCTGGGTCGGGGCTCAGGCTCAGAGAGTCTGGACCCCGCCCGAAGCTCTGGTGTGGCTTCTAGAAGGGTCTGTTGTGCCCAGAGGAATAGTCCAGACTCCATCCTGTCTGAGTCTTGGAAGCTGCGCCTTCACACCAGCACAGAGCAGCCGCATCCTGGGCCCGGATACCAGGCCCCAGACATCCCTCGGCTCTCCCAGCTGGTGGAAGGCAGCTTTCCCGCAGGCAGCCGCATGCGCCCCTGCCACCCCGTCCCTGCCGTTTCCACGTTTCATTCATTCCTCGGGTCAATGAGCACCTACTGACCACCTACCTTCAGCTGGGCCCTGAGCTCAGGACCTCCCTGGAGAGTCTCACTTTATCCTCCAGGTACCCTGTGCATCATCAGGATTTTCCTCTTTCCATTTAGCAGATGAAGAAACTGTGGCTCAGAGAGGTTGAGTAACTGACCTAAGCCCACAGAGCCAGTTAGCAGAGGGCTAGGGCCTTGATCCTAAAGGCAGGATGCTCTGACTCCCAGCCCTGCTCTCCCCTGCCCCATCAGAAGCGGGAAAGGGCTGGCTGTGGTCCTCTGGCCCCCGAGCGAGCCTTCGGGAAGGGCTGAGCCTCCTGGCTTCCACCCCCTCCTCCTGGGCTGTCTCTCCCACAGGTGAGGAGAGACATTCCGGAGTCAACAGCGGGTGGGTGGCAGGGATGATTCACAGGACGGAGAGCGGCTGCGGGGGAGTGGGGGGGAGGGAGGGAGGCTTGGGCAGCCCCCCCAGCTGGAGGCGGGGCCGGCTGTGTGCCTGCGGGAGGGCTGCCTCAGGGCTCCTGAGCTCCCAGAGGCCCTCCCAGGGCCCAAAGCTGGGAGGAGAGAAAAGTGCCAGAGGCCTTCTCCCCTGGCCGGCTCCTGGGGAAGGAAGGGCTGGAGGGAGCGAGGGGAACCAGGAGGGTGAACAGGGGGGCTCATGCAGGCTGGCTGGCTGCCTCACTCCCTGGTCCTGGGGCCCTTCGGCTTGGGCCAAGATGGCGCTCCGTGTGGCAGCTTCAGCTAACCCTAGCTGACGACCCCCGCCCCCCCCCCCCCCCCCCCCCCCCGCCAGCTACCTTTTACAGTTTGCAAAGCACCAGCGCCTGCGAGGCACTCGCCCTCCCCCCTCCTCCTTCTGGGCTGCCTAATAACAGTATCGGCAGCAAAGGTTTCTAGGTGCCTGCTCCTTGCTGAGGGCTGAGCACGCATCCTCTCCTTACCCGCCCAGTAACCCCCAGGAGGTAGGCCCTTCCATCAACCCCATTTTACAGATGGGCACACTGAGGCTCAGAGAATTGAAAGCACTGGCCCACCGTCCCATAACTAGGATTTGGACCCAGGTCCGTCAGCTCCGTACCCTCTGGGTTCAACCACAACAGGTCTCTGACAACATGGTCTTCTATCATGTGCCCGCATCCCTGGGGAGGGGCCCCTGCTGAGACGGATCCCCAGGCCCGTGAGCGGAAAACCAGGCCCAACCCGCACGTCCGTCGCCCCGGCCTCTCTCTCTCCCACCTCCCGGGTGCCAACGCCGGTCCCACGCCTGGCATCTTGGAAATCCAATTGCGCCCGCATTCTTCCCCAGGGATTCACAATCCACAGGTGATTTCTGGCCACAGACACCCGCCGTCCCTGTGCCTGTGCCACCTTGCAGCGCCCACCTGCCCGGGCGCACACGCGCTCAGCACCACACCCAGGCGGCCGGAGGAGGCTGCCGCCCCTGCGGAGGGGCCCGGCAGATGGAGGCCCAGCTGCTCCCAGGCTCCCGTGGGCGGCTGGAGGGGCCTGCCCTCCCCCCAGCGGGCCGCCCAGCGCCCCACCCCCACCCCACTCCCACCCCCACCCCCACCTTCCCTTGAGGGAAACATTTCACAATAATGAGAAATGCTAATAATAGGAAGCAGCATTTCCATTTTGCATGCCTGCCTCATCTCATCGCCTCGCTGGATTTCCACTTCTCTGCTGCCACCGAGGGTCACAGAGCTCCTTAGGGGCAGAGCCAGGGGCCCAGCCCTTTCCCTCCCCCCTCAGTATTCCTTCTCCTGGGCTGTGAGTAACGATGACACCTCGGACACCTCGCCGTGCCCAGGTGTCGAGCACCTATTCTGGCCTCCATTTGGGGAGCGCTTCACAAACGCGTTTTCATCCTCGCCACGGCCCAGTGAGAGCACTTCATGCCCCAAGGAAGGACGAAGCCGCCCAGGAGAGCTAAGGGCAGAACCGTGGCCGAAGGAACGTTCCCGAACCAGATGCACATCTCTTTAGAAAGGCGTATGGGAAGGAAGAGAGCAAGACAGGCGGCGGGCGGGCGGCGGATGCGGGTGGCGGGAGGTAATGGATGGAGCGTCTTCCTTCTCCTCTGGCCCCAGCCACGCTGCCTGTTATTGTGAGCTGTTTCCGCTTCCCTCTCTGTGTCACTTCTGTCTCCCAGGGGCTGTGAGCGCCTCAAGGACAGGGACTGGGGTCTGTTCCCCTCCCCCCTGGGGCCCCAGCACCCAGCACCTTGTCTGCACACAGGAAGGGCCACATCCAGATTGCTTCCTCCATGCAGGATGCTGCGACAGCCTGTGCCCCAGCCGCCTGGCTTATGGGCTTGGGAAACAAAGAGCACAAGAATCCAGACACCCGAGGCTCAAAGGTTATCCATAGAAAATGCCATCGGAGGAGTGAATCCCTCCTCTAGCATCTCTCATTAACCCTTCCCTGGCTTCTGCTTGCATGCTGCTAGCGACAGGAGGCTCACTACTACTGAGGCAGCCCCTTCCACGTTGGAGATCTTGGCATGATTGTTACTAAGCCCCTCTTTCTATCAATGAAGGGTCAGCCTCTTGGGTACATCCAGTGGTCACACCCAGGGGTGCACTGGTAGTGTCTCCAAGTCAGGGGGGACAATGAGGGGTGACACAGCACATTAGCGAGGCTGGTGCCCTCCCTTCAGCAACCCAGAGCTCCGCGTGCTGGGAAGGCAGAGAAGGAGCAGCCAGTGGATTCATCGTGCCAGCCTGAGCCAGCTCAGTGAAGGCAGCGAGCCGAGAATCTGAGTTGTCACAAAGACTGTTCCTGAGCCCTGAGTCAGGTGGCTCTTGGGTGCTTCACCCAACCCGCCTAGGGGCAATCTGTAGGGGTGGAGGAACACTCTGATCTGTAGTCACATTCATTCATTCATTCACTCCTTCATTCATTTTTGGCTATCACGGGCGGGGCGCGTGGCGGGAAGCAGGAATGGCGGCATTGTGGGCCACAGCCCTGCCTCCGGATCAGAGTTGTTACCTTGGTGATGGGGACAGCTCACAGTCACCGAGCGCTTCCTACGAGTCAGGCTGCGGTCTGTTTACTCCGCGTCAAGGGCACAGGCCCAGCCCAGGCCTGGCTCTCGCGAGGGCAGTGGACATCCGCTTGGCACGCCAGCTCTGGGCGCCTGGCACACAGCGCTCAGTCAGTGTGAGAGGCCCCGATGGAACTCCACAGCGGCCACAGGTGGTTCCTCCCGTGGGTTGTCCCCATTTTGTAGACCCAAGAAACCAGACACCTAGAGGTTAAGGAATGTGCCCAAGGCTGCGCAGTCACCAAAAGGCCCGGCCTGGATCTGAACCCGGGCAGTCAGCTTCCAGAGCCCACGTAGGAACCCTCAAGGGAGCCTGTGCAGAAAGAACTCAGACCTGGAGTCAAGATGCCCACCTGGCGAGATGCCCAGGCAGCCGCCCATCTCTCTGCCCCATTTACTTAGCTTGTGAAATGGAGCGTGTCATCAAGCTTGCCTTCCTCCTCCCTCGACACACGTACACATGCACACACACACACACACGCACGCGCACACACCCCCACGGTGACCGCCAAACAAGATGCAGAGAGGCAGGGGGTGTTAAGGAGGGGGTGCAGGGTGGTGGCACGGGCTGGGGTGGGGGAGCACATTGCTGGTCACAGGGGGCTGAGACTAGCTCAGAATGGGGTGGGGGGGAGGGGGCTGTTGTTTGTAGGACCCTCCTTTTTCTAGGCTGAAAGGCTCCGAGAGAGCCCCCAAGACCCCCAAACTCCATTCCCCGCCTTGTCCCCCAGGATGTGTAGAGATAAAAGTTCTGCCAACTGTGCCCACCCCCACCCCCCATCCAGGAGCCCCAGATAAGATCTTAGCCCGTGATGATGCAATTTACAGCAACCTCGCTGAGGCGGGGGCCCGATGAAGAAGGGGAGGGTGGGAGGGGGGTGTCATTTCATTTGGCAAAGTCACACCAAGCAGCGGGAGGGAAGGGCGGGCCTAGGCTGGAAGCCAGAGGGCTAAACGAAATCAAACACTAATGACAGCCATCTGGAAAATGGGATTCCTCATCCCGACCTCATAGGTGGGGAGAATGCAGTGAGTTCATACTCGTGACTCCTTCAGCACAACGTGCCTGGCGCCGAGCGCGCGCTCAGCCGAGGGGGACCGCTGCGGTCACCGTGTTACTACACACTTGGGTATCCACCAGCTAAAGCGATCCCTTCCATTTGAGACACTGGCCTACGCCCCAGGGGATACCCCGAGGATGCTTAAGACAGTGTGGTTTGCCAGCCTGGTGGGGGGGGGTGTTGATAGTCTTACAAAAGGGGCGCAGTCTTTGGAACTTGCCAAGAAAGTCTTCCCCGTTTCGATTCCCAAGCGCCTTCCCCCGGGGCGTGAGCGCGCCCCCCGCAGGCGGTCTCCGGGAAAGCCTCGCCGGGGAGCCCCGGAGCGCAGGCCCCCCAAGCCCTCTCTCCCGCCCGCCCCGCCGGCCACCCTCGGGGGCGAGGCAGCCCGGCGCGTGGGAGGGGACGGCGCGCCATTGGCTTGTGCGCGGAACCGAGAGGAGGGACCAGCGCGGGCCGCCAGACTCAGGCAAAGCGCGGCCGCGCAGGGCTCCGCGCGCAGTCCAGCCCGGCCCTGCCCTGCCCGCGCGGGCGGCGCGATGTGAGGCGCCGAGGCCCCCGCGTCCCCGCGCCCGCCAGCTCCGCGCAGCGCCGGCGCCAGCATGCGCTAGCAACGTAAGTTCTGCTCCCCGCCGCCGCGCCCAGCCTCGCACTTTCCCCTCCCGCCGCCGGCCGGTGCCTGCGCAGCGCAGCGCAGCGCAGCCCAGCGGGCTCCTGCGGCCCAGGGACCGCTGGGGACAGCGAGGATGCCCGGCGCGCAAGCCGGGCGCCCCAGGACCGCTTGGCACCGGCGCGTCCTGCCGGGACCCCAGGGGTCTCCTCCGCGGCTCTCCAAGGCGGCGTCCCGCAGGCCCTTGTGTTCCTCTGCTTCGCGCTCTCCGCTCGCTGCCCATCCCTCTGACTCGGTTTCCCTCTCGCCCCCGGCCTCCGTGCTCCGCCGTCTCCTCCCTCCTGGGCTGTTTATATCGCCCTCGGCCTCCCTTTCTCGGGCTCGCGCTCTCTGCTTCGGAGGAAGAGAGAAACAGCGAAAAGCAGTTTCTTTCTCCTTGGGGTCCGACTCGGTCCCCGCGCTCGGTTCTCTGTCCCTTCCTCCCTCCATCGCTCCCCTCCGCCCGCCTTCCTTTGTTCCCGGGTGCAAGGAGTGCGCGGCACAAACTTGCGAGTCCGCGTCCTTCTCTCTTCGCCCCCGCAGGGCCGTGGACCGAGGCGGCGGAGTTCCCGCTGCCCACAAGTCGGGCTCGACCTTCTGGTTCGGGGGGCCGTGGGCGGGAGCATCCGGGGCGCCCCACAGCCCGGAGCTCCCGGCCTGGGGTCCCCAGCCCTCAGGCCCGGGTCTCAGAAAGTGGATGAGAGTCTGGAGCTGGGAGATAAAGGACACATTGGAGGGGGAGGAGCGAGACTGGGAGAGACCCCAGGCTCCAGGCTTCGGGGTGTGGGGCGAGGCAGAAATCGACGCCGCGCCAAGCCCCCGTTGTTGGGAGGGGCGAGGAGGGGAAGCGCAGGTGGAGACAGACGCCCCCTGGTCTCCCGTAAGTCGCGCCCTTAGCAGGAAGGGGGCGGTGTGGGCCATTGGCCTGGCGCTGGGTGGGCTGGGGCCCCCTGCCGTGGGCAGAACAGTCACACCCACTCCTGGGGGTCTGCAAAGGAATGGCCAGAACGCCGCGCCCAGCCCCCGCGCGCCCCCCAGGGTCCGGCGCTCCACCCTCCCCTGCCCCCACCCCTTCCGGGGCTCCCGCCGCCTCCTGGCGGCCGTGGGGGAGCGGGTTTTTCCGCGGGGGCGACGGAGGCGGGGGCTGAAAATCCCCAGGTTCCTCCGAAGCCCAGCGCGGTCGGCCAAGGCCGCCCCAGCGCCCCGCGCTTCCTGGCTGATTTCCTGCAGACCAACTTCTCCCGGGGGGGGGGGGGGGGCCGGCCTGCGGGGAGAGGGCCCCGGGGGGCAGGGATGGCCACCCCGGCTGCGCGGCTCCCTGGATCTCCACCCCTGGCTGCCTGTGCAGAGGGGACCACGACCCTCTCTTCCTGCAGCCCGCGGATACCAGGGACACCGGGTGGGGCGGGAGGAATTGTTGGAGGGCCAGGAGGGCGCGCTGTCCGTTCCTTAGCCGAAGCCCCACTCTCAGCCCACCGGGAGGAAAGATTTCTCTTCTTGGGTTGTTAGGGAATAAGACACGGCGCAATCCGCCGGCTTCTGTTACCCCATCTGAGAAATGGGCCGTCTGGTCCCTGAGGTCCCCTCTGGCCCCGGTGTCCCGGGAGCCAGCTGTCCTCGCTTCCCCTTCTGCCTGCACACGCTGCCTGCTCCATCGTCCTTCCAAATCTGGAGTGGCGGGCTGAGGCTCAGAGCCCCGGGGCCACCTGTGGCGGGTGACACCTGCGGGACCCACAGCTCAGGCCTGTTCTCGGCCGGGCCCCGCCCCCAGCCCCCCCCCCCACCCCCGCAGAGTCTCCAACCACACTCCGCTGTCTCCCTTCCCCCGAGGTCTTATGGCAGCGCCCCCTCTGCTGGAGCAACAGTCTGCCCCTCCAGAGAGGGAGTAGGGGGCACTGTAATTAACAATGGCCCCTGATGTGCACACACTTCTGGACTGTTCTTTACTTTTACTTATTGGACAAAATGTTTGTGAGCTCTGTGCCAAAAACGATTGCGTGCAGAATGCCAGGCACAGTTCCAGGCCCTGGGAGACAGGTGTGAACAAAATAAAGATGCTTGCCCTCATGGAGCTGACGCTTAAAGGGGAGTGGCAGTTAACTAAGGAAAGAAAGAAGCAAATTATATGGCCTATTGGGAAGTGAGGTGGAAAAGTTGAGTGTTGAGGTTGGGGAAGGTGGGATTGCCATTTTCAATAGGGTGGTCAAGGAGGCCTCTTGGAGGAGGTGACTTTTGAGCTAAAGCTTGGAAGGAGTGAGCTGTGAGGATGGCTTGGGAAGTAAAGATCCTGCAGAGAACAGCCTGTTCAAAGGCCCTGAGGCAGGAATGTGCCTCTTGTATTTGAGGAACAACAAGGAGCCAGCGCAGCTGGAGTGGAGTGAGGGGGTGGGGAAGAGAAGGGAAGCCCCCCCGTTTCACAGATGAGGGAAGTGATGCTCAGAAACAGCATACAAATCACCCCCAGACAGGCAGCCCAGGAGCGGCAGCTGCAGGGCGGGGTGCCTGCTGGTCTGAGTCCTGGCCCATAATACTTTCCCTTCTTCCTGCATCTCAACCAACCTTCGCAGCCCGGGTGGTGCCCTCCCAGGGCCAGGTCTGGCCAAGTGCGGGGACGTGGAGGGGAGCCACCTAGTACCCTGAGGGGTTCCGTACCTGCAGCCTGTTGCCAGCCCCTCCCCACGGTCTCCCAGCACCGCTGGAGCCAGTGCCCTGGGGCCAGCATCTTCCCATGACCCACGGGGACCCTGTTCTCTCTCTTCCCATTTCCTCCCCGTGGTCACCCTCTTCCCCACTCTGTATCTGCGTGGAGCCCCCGCGGGCCCTGGAAGGGGACCTGCTCTGAAGCTGATATGGTCAAGGGGGAAACTGAGGCAAAGAAGTTGAGTGTCCTAATCTGAAAATAGCAACAACGTTGTTAGTACGTGTTTGCTGCACAACAGCTCCCATTCTGGGTGTTTGTGGTGGGAGGTAGGTGTCATTATCACCCCCATTTAACAGATGAGGAGACCAAGACCCTGGCTGAAGGCCACGCAGCTAATAAGTGGCAGCGCCCAGATTTAAGCACAGGCCTTTGGAGTCATGACCCACTCCTTTAACCACTAAGGCAGAGCCCCAAACCCCCAGGAGACGGGTGGCCCTGGACCGTGGTCCTGGCTCATGGGGGTCGGGGACAAGTACAGGGACTCTTCTCCTGTGTCGCTCGTCCCCCAGAGGGCAGATCACCGCTTGCTTCTGAAAAAGTTGGCTCAAAACGGTGGAGCATCCTTCAAGGAGACTCCCGTCCCGCCCGCCTCTCCTCCTACAAGTTCCTGGGCAGCTGGGGAGTTGGGAGGGGTGGGAGGGGAGAGGGATGTGTCCGGGGCCTTCTCACAAGACCTCGGGCCCCATGGGACGCGGAAGCACCAGCCGCCGTTGAGGGCCCTCATGTGGTTGCTGGGCATGCGCGAGGCTGGCCTGCCCCTGAGCTGAAAAGGACAGGAGTTCTCCACATGCCTTTGTGAGCGACACTGGGGACAGGAAGACCCTCCCGGTGACTTCTGAGTGGTGATGGATGGCCGGCCGGCGGAGGGCTGGGCCCCCTGCACACAGCAGCAGCTTCAGAGCGCTGGGGGAGCCCCCGGGATGTGCCTCCTTCCTGCCCTCTGCCCTGCCCTCTCATCCTCCAACGCCATAGGGAATGTTTGCTTTTGGTCCTTGAACCGTTGGAGACGTTTGTATGAAAATCTGGGCTTTCCTCCACCTTTCTGGAAATCAGGCACCTTCAAAAGAGAACAAGTGGAGAGACAGGAGGGAGGTGTGGGTCCCTGGGGACAGTGACAGGCGCTGGGACTGGGGGCGGGGCAGCTGGAGCTCGGGCCTTGCTTGCTGGAGTGTGGAAGCCAAATCACGAGTATTGCAGCCAGGCGGGTTCCTAGAGACCACACTCCCATTTTGTAGATGGGGAAACTGAGTCCCAAGGTCAGGCCCCGGCTTACCCACCATGGCAGAGTCTGCTGGTGGCCTCAGCTGTCCTGTCCCCCAGCCCAGTGACGCAGGGCTCACCCACCACCCTTCCAGCTTCTGTGCAAATCCTTTGCTACCGGCGGCTGCCCTGGGCCTGGGGGGTCTTGGAAATGGGCGTGGAATCTCTTTCTTGATCACAGAGCTTCGTCGTGGGGGCTGGGTTTGTCGTCCTTGCAGGATTTGCACCGTGCTCGCTCCTCTACCCTGCCAGCTCTGCCCTCTGTCACCCTCGCCCTGTGCGGCAGCATCGACGCAGAGCCGCTGGGCAGTGGTGCTGGACGGAGGGATGGGGGAATGCAGCCCCGCCCCCGGCTGGCTCTCCGAGGCCCAGCCTTCAGGATAGATACAGGATAGTTACGCTGTCAGGGGACACCCTGCAGGGAAGCCTTGCCACGTGGCAGCCTCACCTCGGCTTCCCCACTCACCCCGTGGGCCCCGAGACGCCCCCTAAAACCTGCACCCCGGAGGCTGCCCTGATGATGTCAGTAGTGCAACCGATCCATCCAGGGTCCTCTGTGTCCTGTGACTTCCTCGTCTGGCTCCAACCCTCCCAACAGCCTACTGAGTCAGACGTGGTCACCCCACTTCCAGGGAAGGAATGGAGGCTCCCCGGAGGGAATCTGTCCAAGGCCCGGGGCTGGCGATGCACAGCCGAGATTTGAACGCAGGTCCCTTCCTCCCCAAGCATCCATTACGGCCCTGGAGACGTGAGATCGGCTCTGCTCCAGGGCCCCAGTGGTGGGTTCTGGCTGCACGTCTTGAGACCCCATCTTGCCCATGTGGGTGAGGGGCTGGCCCAGGGAGGGACGACAGGGTGGACGGTGGAGGGCCCCCCTTGCTGGAGCTCTGGCCAGCCCCCCCATCTCTCTCTGCCAGCCCCGCTCCTGTGCGGCCCTGCCCCAGCCCCGTTTCCAGCTATTTTGCACCAATGTGATAACAGAACAATGGGTCTCGCCTTAGCCCG